TGCGTGTTAATCGATTGCACCGATCGATAGCTAGTGACCGGCTAAATTGTCCTAGCCCTCACGGGCGCCTTTATGAGACGATGTATCACGTCGTTTGTGTGACTCCTGTTCGTTTCCACCTTCTTTCCTCGCAGGTGCCCGAATGTCGGTCCTGCTTGTATTTCTTTTCCCGACCTTTTGCTTTGGTATGAATGGCAGTCAGGCTTGTGCGGAGTGGCTTATAGGTGAAGCAATACATTTTTAACGTAAACTCACGTTTTGTCTCGGAATAACAACGAGGATCTGCGAATTTTTTATAAGCGGATAGTGCTACTGCAGGACGCTCATACTTTAACCGGATGGACCTAAACCATCTGGGTGGTGTGCACCAGGTGGTGATGCATTTTAACTCTTATCGCCGCGGCTAAGCATAATAACGAAGACACCTAGAACTATGCAACTTCCTTAAAGAATCCCTTCTATTAAAAGCAGCGCCTGGTATATTAGGAAGTACTTGCTCAAACAGTCAACGTTACGTAGCAGCTTAATCGCAGTCAGTAATTTTAAGTGAGATGGAATCTCTGCGTAGTCTATTAGCTCAGTTGGTATGAGCAATTGAATCGGCAGCATTCGCTTCCGCGTTAAAATCGTACATGGTTTAGTTGACGACCACTGCCTTCAGATTCACAGTTTGTATATTCCGCAGTTAGTCCAATTTTTCTGAAAGCACTCGTCCTTGTGGAAAACGCTGGAAAGAAAACCTTCCCGGCTTGCATACTTTTTTATTAACCGCCTCTATCTGAACAGTATTTTGGTTCTCACGGGTAACAAAAGAACGGGAACACGCTGAGACCAAACGCTTTCCGGCTCTAACACTTATTTATTAACCCGTATCTTTAGCTGCAGGCTTTCGGTATTCACGGGTTACAAAGGAGTGAACATGAATATATGCTGAAATTAACTCTTCGACTTATTTTTAGGAAGTTTGGTAGATTTGACTAATTTGAGTTGACCCAATTATGAAATAACTCGATGTGTTCAGCGGGATTTGAACCCGTGTATTAGAGAAGACCTTTATCGAAAGCCAACGCTCTCACTGTCAAGATGCAAAAGGCCCCACCTCGCGCAGTGAATTTAATAAGACTTGAGTAGATATAACCCGCCCAATATTACCAGTCGTATGAAATTCACCAATACGGG